TGCTGCCGTGTTTTTGGAACTTATTGGCGTAGCACTAGATGCTCACCAAGCAGTTCTGGATGTCGGTTATACCGACAAATCATAAGATGCCTTACAAGCAAGCAGCGGCTGCTTGCAGGACCTTCTACCCGGTGTGGATCTTTGAGAGCAGAGTTTCGCACTCCACCGTGAGATCCACATCGGATAGGTGGACCTGCCATCCTACCGCTGTCAGTTGTAGTCATCTTGAGGGAGTCGACGAGGTGAGGACCCGGCAAAGAACAATGTCAGGGAACTTTGCTGTCGTGTTTGGAACATATTGGTGTAGAACTAGATGCTCACTAAGCAGTTCTGGATGTCGGTCATATCGACACATCATAAGATGCCTTACAAGCAAGCAGCGGCTACTTGCAGGACCTTCTACCCGGTGTGGATCTTTGAGAGCAGAGTTTCGCACTCCACCGTGAGATCCACATGGGATAGGCGGACCCTCCATCCTACCGCTGTTGGTTGTAGTCATCTTGAGAGTCGATGAGGTGAGCACCTGGCAAAGAACATTCTTAGGGGACTTTGCTGCCGTGTTTAGAACTTATTGGCGTAGCACTAGATGCTCACCAAGCAGTTCTGGATGTCGGTTATATCCACACATCATATGATGCCTTACAAGCAAACTGTGGTCGGATCTCGTCCCCCATCCCCGGCGCGGATCTCTGAGAGCAGATTTGACGCAATCCACCGTTAGATCCGCATCGGAGAGGCAGAGCGGTCATCCTACCGCTGTTCAGTGTAGTCATCATGTGGGAGTCGACATCGCAAGAACCGGACGATGTTCCAATTGGGACGTGCTCTTGTTTCGTGATGTGCAGGTGCTTACCGGCGGTGCGTTCGATCCCCTCCTCGACGTGAAGCAAAGTGAGAGGGAATTGCTCAGGGCTCACACCAGAAGTGCGATTGAACTCGCACTTTGATGAAGAAGCAGTTGCGCAGTCCATCAGCGCGACGGTTTAATATGGACATTGGCTTGTCGTTTGTATATTCGAGGTTGAAAACGCCATCAAATTTTTCTGTGTAGAAGATTCATATCCATTCATACAAGTATATCTTGTCATCGCAAACATCGAGATGAAAACATCTCAAGTCAAATAGCAAAGCACACAAAGACATCGCAAACATCGAGGTGAAAACATCTCAAGTTGCCTAGTGTTTTTCCAAAGGTGAAGTCTCACAGCACACGAACAGTTTTCAGAAACCATTCAATGCAAAAAAATCATTCAATGGCAAATTGCAAAGCACACAGAGACGTTTCAAAAAATCATTGAACGCAAAACATCACACAATCCCACATTGCAAAGTGCACGGAGGCTTTCCAAAAATCACAAAGTACATGGAACAAAAGTGCGAATATGTTCGCATTTCTCATATGGAACCAACAGTTCAATCACAAACGTGCGGCATCCAAAGTGCGAATATGTTCGCATTTCTCATACGGAAACAACATCCACCATTACGTGGAGAGCAGGAGATGTATTCCGGGGATAACAAAATTGGTAATCATTTAGTGCACCGCTGAATCCGTAAAACAACTTCAAGCACACATACATTCTGGCGATAATTGGTTTCCGAATGGAGAACAAGTTCGCAACTGTCGTAACAAGGGCGGTGAACCGTAAAACGGGGCGATAACCAACAGACAACATTCAATGGAGACAAGCAGAGGGGGTGGTAACCAAAAGACAGCAGTCAATGGAGACAAGCAGAGGGGGTGAACCGTAAAACGGGGCGACACACGCAGAACAAGGGCGAGCCAAAACATATGAAAGTTGGGTGGTCGGGGTAGGGCGGGGGAGAGGGGCTTTCACACCACAAAGTCTCGTGAACGAAACAATTTGGCGACCAAGAATAAATCGTCGATATCTTTCACTAAGAGCATGAGTGCAAAATGTTTACAAGAGGACGAAGACGTCCCATGAGTAACAGAGCAGCACAACCTCGAAACGAACAAACGCAGCAGGGCGCGGTAAACGCAGCACGGTGCTGCAACGGTCTGAAAGTCGGGACATTCACATCCCATATCTAAGCGTCTACTTAAAAGGTACTGCGCAACTTGGCTGGGATATTTACATCGGCATCTAAGATTGTACATCACGTAGGCGTCCGCTGCAACCCTCTAGCTGATGTTCCGTGGCAAGCAACGAGAACAACCCGAAAACAAACAACGGCAGCACGGCGCTGCCGAAAGGCGTACGAGTAAAGATGACAGATTCCTCGAAATGAAGAACCCTTAAAAAAATGGTACAGCACGAGGCTGGGATATTCACATCGACACCTAAGCGTTTACTCGACAAAAACGTCCACTGCAATCCGGTACCTCATCAAAACAATAGCACAACTCGAACCGACCGACTAGTAGATCAAGTGTGAATAGATTCGCACTTCAGCTTATGACATTTCAAAAAAAAAACTACGCGCATTTTAACAACAATGGTATCATTCAGCGCCTTGGAGTATGTCCACCGCAATCCTCAGCTGGATCTTTGGAATGTCGCTTTGGGCTATCGGAAATGGTGGCGGACAGCCACGTGCACGAAATGAAGTGAAGGCGAGCATGAAAACACCGCAGCTCGACCCGTCCGACTGTTGAGGGACGCCACGAACAACCACCTTGGGCTCTTGGAGATCCACTTTCGTTTTTTGACCATAATGACAAACTGCTTCGTCACGGAGGTATTGCGTGAAGTTCGCAATCACATTGGAAGAAAAACCGCCATCGTCCTGTAGGAGGGAGTCGTAGTACTCCAGCCTTTCTTCTCGGAGACACAATAGGGTCCAATGCACTCCACGTTTATGGACAGGAATCAAGACCATCTCGTACGAGAAAATATCTACATCTTTTGTCCATCTCGCAACCCTATCATGTCGATAGCCGCCACGGACGAGCTTGGTATAGAAAAAGGGATTGAAAATGTAAAGAGAGGGATACTCAGGCAACGCAGCGTTGGCAAGCAAGGCCAAGTACAACTCCACCACCTCGTCGGAAAGCCATTCCCCCTGAACAAGAGTTTGAAGACTTTTTCTGCTCAACGGAACTCAACTGGGCCCTTTGCGAACCGAGGAAACCACCTCATGGCCGTTGCTGAAATCTCCGCAGTCGTCGTGCAACATTCTCAAGTCCGTAGCGCTGAGCTCCGCAGTAGGCAAGGGAACGCGAAAACATGATGTAGCCACAGCTGCACAAACACCCACGAAAAATTGTGAGGAGTGACCAAAATCACCGGGGCGAAATGGCTAAGAACTGTCTGCCCTTTTCCCAGAGAAGTTGTATCCCCGACTGTTGAATGTGTGCTTCGCGATGTACTTAGGACATGGGTCTTTGAAGACACCCCGTTTGGCATCGTCATCAGACCCATCAGACAAAGCAGTAACGCTTTCAATAGACGCAGCCAAATGTTTCCGCAAACCTTCCTCCTTATCTATTCCACAAGCCTTCAGAACCCTGACAGCTCTCTGGGAAAGGCGAGGCATTTGGACCCTTTTAAACAAACCTACACTAGACGACTTCTTCAATAAAGCGGCCAATGACCTCCCTGAAAGACATTTCTCGCGGACGGTTTTTAAAGGCTTCATGGGCAGGGACATTGACAACCTCATACCTGTAAAACATGGAAAACAACCCGCAACCTACAAGCTATTTTTTAACAAGCGGTAAAAGGTACATTAGCCCATGACATCAATTTGAATGAACACAGAGCTGCCTAGTGACAGATATGCGAGTGCTCATATTCACAAATCTTACCGTGCTCGGGAGCCCTTTGAGGGAACTCGCCGTCCTATTGTGCCACTGCACCAATGTCCACGGACGATTCGAGGTTCTGCACCTCGGCCACGGTTGTGTCGCTAACCAGCTCGGTGGCAACTGAGTCGCTTGGCAAGTCGATGGCTTTATGAAGCACCATTTCCCGACTGGTACTTAGGACAGATGCTCGATCACCTTGTTCTGCACCGCAACGGGTGGACGGAGAGTCATGATCTTTCCACTCTGGATCCATCTTGATGCTGACGGCCACCTCACCGCCTTCCACGGAGGATTCGACGTTCTGCACCTCGGCCACGCCTGAGTCGCTAACCAGCTCGGTGGCAGCCGAGTCGTCACCAAACTCTATGGCTTCATGAAGCACCACTCCCCGAGCGGTGCTTAGGACAGACGCTCGACCACCCTGTTCTTCACCGCAACGGGTGGGCGAAGAATCACTATATTTCCCCTGTGGATCCATCAGGATGCCGACAGTCACCTCACCGCCTTCCACCACGGGTTCTCCGCCTTTCTCATCGCCATGAACCCGAGCTTCCACCGCGGGTTCTTCTTCGTCTTCATCGTCGCCAAGAACGGGAGCTTGCACGAACGTCCATTGACCTCCCTTAATGACACCCTCTCGCGTCGTGGCCACAGCCGGACGACTGTGCAGAACCTCTTCGGACGTCCCGATCACCAGCGCTCGTGCGTGGAGCCCCTTCATGTCTTAGCGAGCCGGCCACTGATGAGTCTCCTCTCCCCGCTGTAAAGCATGCGTTTCCCCCGGAGCTCCTGCACAGTGTCCAAGGACGCGCCCTCCGAAGCATGACGTTCACACTCGCTACCCCCGGTCTCCAACACTTTGCGAGACTGCCAGCGTTGAGTCTCCTCTTCCCAATGTACAGTACGCGTTCGCGGAGAGCGCTCCTCTTCCCCAGGAGTATGACGTTCGTACTCGCCACCCCCAGTCTCCAACACTCCTGCAGCGGGCCCCTCCAGCACGTCGCGAGACCGCCAGTCTCGAGTCTCAACACATGAGAACGGAGGTGAGCAGGGCAACCCTGTGTCCAACTGAAGATGTGGGGGGCAGGACGTCACATTTTCTTGGCCTCGCGGAACTGTTGCGTGAGGAGCACTTATGGCGGAGGGCGACGTCAGCAAATCCGAATGTATTCGGAGTTTGTGGTGGTCGCCCGAGCCGAGGGAGCCGAAGGTCGCACCTTCGCTCCTTCGCAATGCAGGCATCCCGCCCTCCAGGCAAAACGAAGACGCGCCCTCTTTCAGGAGCAAGGTGTTGAGCACAGGAGACCTCTGCTACGCACGACGGGATTGACTCTCATCTGCAACGGGAAACAAAGTCCTCGCAGACAAGTGCGAATCTACTCGCACTTGATCAGACCTCAGGGTGGCCTCGTCTTGCATGTCGGAATCTCGACTCCCTACGCAGTGGGGGTCAGTTTCCATATACTGGGGACTCCCGGACGTTCTACGCTTTCCGCCCGACCCCTCCCCGCCCGACCCCTTCCCGCCCGATCCCTTCCCGCCCGACCCCTTCCTGCCTGACCCCTTCCCGCCCGACCCCTTTCCGCCCGAGTCCTTTCCGCCCGAGTCCTTTCCGCCTGACCCCTTTCCGCCGGACGCCTTCTCGCCCGACGACGTCTCGCCCGTTCCTTTTCCGGCAAACTGTGACCCGTCTCCTCCGCCACCTCCGCCGTCTCCTTCGTCTCCTCCTCCACCCCCTCCCGGATGCTGACCGGCCGACGGAGGTTGCGGCATGCACCAGTCAATGCCACGAGACGGTGCCGTTTCTAGTGCGTAGAAAGGCGCTCGAAACTCCAACATTTTGCTGGCGTACAACTCATTTAGCTTTTGTTCTGCATACGCTGCGACGTCGGGATCGCTCCTCTCGGGGTTCATAAGACTCAAATGCTCCACCAGAGCATCTCTCGCCGTTCTCTTAAATGTACCCGCTCCCAGTCTCTTCATTCCACTCCACTCGCCATCGGCCCCCTTCATTGCCATGACCCACTTTCCATTCTTCACAGCAGGTTGGAATATCCTCGGGTGCCAGACGATGTTGTGTCCCCAGACATCCTCCGGCGTGAACCGGTGATGCTTGCCGAAGAAGTAGAGTCTGTCATTCTGCCAGGTGTCGTGGTCCTCAGGGAGCCTGTCACAAGGTTCGTGATCATAGTCTCCCTCTCCCTCCCCGTCATCAGACGATTGGTCGTCGACTGGTTCGCCCCGAAACACACGCTTCAAACCGGCAGGGGACGTGCTATATCTCTGAGGGCCACCTTCCTCTTCATCACTAACCTGTCCAACCACCCGAGGAAGTGGCATGGACTCGAAATCGAAGGTTTCGGAGTCGCTCAACTCCTCCATATCTTCAGCGTCGAAAGTGTCATCCTCGTCAAACTGTGACTTGTAGTTTTCGAGGGTGAGCGGTTCGGCCAGCGTGAAGTAAATGTGCTCCAGCCTTCTCAGGAAATGCGAGACAGACTCCCTGGGTGCATCGTGGTAACCATTCAGCACACCGAACACCAGGTTTCTCCGTCGACTGTATCTAAGGTCGGTCGGACCAGCCGGTCCGGGTTGGAAAAGGAAGTCCCAAACCTCCGTCCTTTTGTTCCCCGGCAATTTCCAATACATGTCACGTTTGGGATCCCAGTTTCGTTCGCCAGTGGTCTGGACAAACTCATAAGCATTGTGAGTGTCTGCAACGCGTGCCTTCACGAACTCGTGAAGGTAATTGATCATCTTCGCCTCCTTCTCCAACGCGACGACGTTCCGACCGGTGCGCAGGAGTTCCACACGACAGACGCATGAGCCTTCCCAAAGAAAAAAATAGTTTGACCAGCTTTGCAAACGTTTTCGAGTAGACCAAGTAGACGGGACGGGTTCCGCTCCATCTCCCCGTAAGCAGGTTCTTGAGAACTTGTCACGCCGCCGTCCTCCCACATGCTACGAGAGAACCTTTCCTCTTCCGCCACGTCGAAACACGCCACAGCCTGTCCTGATGGGTCCGACGAACAGACAACTTTCGAGCGGGCCGCCACCGTGTGTTTGGCCGGACTTGGACCATGAGCACGGGAAGCCTTTGTCGGGCTACTGGCCGGGTAGACTGCGAATGTGTTGTCTTCCAGCTTCTCGCCATTAAAAATCACGTACAGACGGTCACACTCCTCAACCAGCATATTGCCTTCCCGGACAATGGCCTGCTTTTGTGCATTGCGCACCCACTTCCCTGTCCTGACGTGATGGACGCTAAGCGTGGCCATGCCTTTCAAGAAACTGAGCTCCCAACGAGAGGGGAAAAAGACCACAAGTGCCCAGTGCGTTGGCGAAAGTGTTTGGAGAACGCCTTGCAAGTTGGCGAAATCGTCTTCTCGCCAGTCTGTGAGGAGTGTGGGATCACACAAATCGAGGACGTACAGGTTGCACACGTAATGTCGCACAACCTCACGAATCGCAGTGACATGACTGTGAGCTTGGGAAGGTGGGAAAGCGAAAGGAATAAGGCTGGTCACCCGGTTGAGGTCGGGCCATTTGATGTGCCTCATATCCCTGCTGACCGTGATCGTGTCTCGAACTTCTTCTTCCGTCCGTCGCAAGATGGAACGGACAGACTTTTCGAAAGATTTAGGGAGTCTGTCATCATCGTACAATCTCTTCGCGTCGTCGAGAGACTCTTTCTCATGCGGAAGAGTACGTTTGCAAGTGTTCACGTACTCCACCGCACCCTGGAAATGCTTTCGCATTTTGACCCAGACCTGTTTCGTGAGGCCCTGCGGCCCAAACTCCTCAAGAAGCCCCCCCTCGGTCCGGAAAAAAGGGCTCCCGTGGCGCCAAACACCTTCGTCCTCCTCCGTTTCAAGGAACAAGATGTAGTGGAACATACGGAGCATCACACGGTCCACTTTCCTCGTCGCGACCATGTCTTTAATTCCAGGTTTATGCTGACGCCTCAGCTACCCGCCCGCGGATTGCACGAACACTCCCCTTAGTGGAAGAATGTCGTCGAGGATCGACATTTTCTCGACATCGGTCATGTCGGCAAGACACTGCCAACAAAACATGTCTGGCTCCTTCACGACCACGAAAAACTTGTCGTCCGCTTGCGTTTTCTTTTTGGTCGAAGGCGGCGGGACCCGGACCAACCACCCCATCTTCGTTTCACCAGCTGCCCCTTTCGAGCCCATTTCCGGAATTGCTTGCAGACCCGGAGATTTGTCTGGCATGTATTTGCCCGGCCTCAACAATGGCGTATTGTCATCGCCGCCCAACAACTTCCCCTCCGGCCATTTCGCGTAGAACTTCATGGCTTTCCGGAACACGTCATCACCGGCCCTCACGAGCGGCATCCACTGCCTCAATGCATTGCCAACGACAGCGACATACTCCTTGTCGGCGAGCGATTTATCTTTTTCTGCCAACGACCAGTGAGATTTGTTCGGACTCTTTCCCAAAATCAGCTTTTGGAATTCGAAAAACTTTTGTTTTTCGGCCTCCTTGTCGGAAGGGTTCCCTTGACTGGCCATCGACCTTCCTTCTTTCTCCCATGCCTCACGCATGTCCAAGAACGCGGCCTTCTGCGATCGCTGCTTAGATATCTTGTGTCTCGTGTTCTCGTTGAGACTGACCTGCCTATACCCCGCGAAATCTCAGTCGGAGAACCACACTACTCTCGCCGGCCACGAGTGCATCTTCCACAAATCGAATATTGGCTCACCCTCCAACTCCTTCACAGCAGCCACAGTGTGTTGTCCGTTAACAGGGTAATAGTAGTACTTGTCCTTGTCCTCTGGCTTGAAGACATCTTTGTGAACCCTATCAGCTATCTCCGGCCTACGCGTCACTGGCTTGTTGATGGGTGCCAGAACCAAAGGGTTTTTCGTCCAGATCTTCCCCCTTTTCTCGCGGTATTGACTCAGCATCGCAGTCTTGATGTCGTCCACGGTTTCCCAATTTAGACTGCGGTGGTTGTAATATCTTTCCCAAGACGGGAGGTCATAGACCTTCCTGGGGTCGATGAGCAGTTGGACGGGGAGCTCCTTCTCCACGATTTCACCGCCTTCGTTCCGCTCGTATTCGAGCCAGAAGGCTGCCGCTTCGTCGCACTCCTCACCGACAGGCCGTTCGCCCCCGCTCGCCGCCTCAGCAGTCTTCCGCCTTCGAGGTTTCTTCAGGCCATCGCCTTCTTCAACTGCCACTTTCCGTTTCGATTTCCCCGAAGGTTTTCTCGCAGCCGCAGCGCCTTGATCAGCCGAATCTCCTCCCCCCACGGCTTGTCCTTCGCGGATGGTCAAATCGCGGGGCCTCCTCGCTTTCTTACTTGTCGTCCCACCCTCTTCCTTCGGCGGCCTCTTTCCCGAGGCACGTTCTCCGACGTCACCTCCATCCCCGCCCATCACCGCCTCCGATTTTCCTCTCATCCTCTTCATGCGGAGGGTTCCCTCCCCCACCTCCTCTCGCACCATCCTCTGTCGCTCGCGCTTCTTCTCCGAAGGCGTCTGTTCCCCGCCAGAGCTTTCGCGGACAGCGCCCATCCCTTCAGCCTCATCCACTCCGACATCTTGCCCCGATCTGTCGGATTCTCTTCTCGTCTCATCTCGAAGCGAATACGTGTCGCCGCCGCAGCGGACCTTGATGAGTTTCGGAGTATTGACCCGTTGAGTCCCTGTACCCTGAGAATGCAAGTCCGACGTGTTCCCAGGAGCATCCGGGCCGACCTGCATGTAAACGCTGCGCGCGCGCCCCTTGACCCGACCCCCAGCATCTTGAATCGGACTCCCGCGCCCCACTGCCGTACCTGGAGTTTCTTGAGCCAAGCTGGACGACCCCTTATGGGGTGGCAGAAGCCGAAAAACATGTTCTCGCGGAAGAACCGGACATTCTTTCGGCATCATCAGTGCGAGATCGAGATATTGCTCTGGCGATGGAAGACGCTTGCTGCCGCCATCGTAAAGGCCTTTGAAGTGAGAGCACAACGTCATGCTCGAGCCGTACCCCGCGAAACTCTTGATGGTCACCAGCACACCTTTAACACCTCTGAGAGGCAGTCTGCACTCGTCGTACAGGCCGTTAGTGTGCAGCTTGAACAAACCTCCAGAAGTTTTGGCGCATGCGACGATGGTACCGAGAGGAAGAACGTTGATCGCTCCCCCAGCGTCTGGAACGCAAGTGGGTCGCATGAAAACAGCTGGCCCAAAAAGGTCCCCCTGAACAACGAAGTCCAAAAACCATTGTGCTCCCTTTGCGTGCATATACTGAGGAGTAGATTGCTGAAGAGGTCGTACCTCCCCGGGGGCAGATGGTCCACCGGTTGTGGATGTGTTATTTGCGAATGCCATTGTACTCCCACCCGTTGACTAACACGCCGAACCTCAGACCAACTCGGATGACTAATACGCCCAAGCTCAAACCACTACAGAAGCGAAGTGCGAACTAACTCGGACTTAACAAAATAGAGGAAGAAAAGGACGTAAGAGATGGGTGTTCGAAATGCACATGAAGTCACAACAATCGGGTGAAGGATAGGAAAGACAGCAGTCCTCTGGCAGAGTGAGTTCGGAAGGAAGACAACAGCTCCAGGGAATGAAGTCGTCTACAACAAGTGCTGCATGGGTATCGACAAGGGGGAAACCGACGTGCAATTCTGGGCTGAAGGAAACCGAAGAATGATATTGGTGTTTGAAATGCAAACGAACACAAAACAATTGGGTGGCTGGCAGAATGAGTTCGGAGGGAAGACGACAACTCTTCGGAAGATTGCGACCCGACTCGCTGCCCTCGAAACGAGTAAGATGTGGTTTATCGACAAGTGCGAACTAACTCGCAGTTCTGTAGACAAGACAACAATGGCAACCCGCAATACTAGGGGAAAGTGCGAACTAACTCGGAATTGTGGAACTGAAGACCTGAAAGATGCACGAAACGACTAAGATGTGGTTTATCGACAAGTGTGAAGGGTGTCGACAAGTGCGAACTAACTCGCAGTTCTGCTGACAAGACAACAATTGCTACCCGAAGTACAAGGGGAAAGAACGAACTAACTTGGAATTGTGGAATTGAAGACCTGAAAGCCGAACAGGATGGGTTATCAACTCCTCCAGCAGTGTTGCTAAAAAAGTGCGAACTGACTCCCATTTGTGGAAATAAAGAACTGCCTTTAATAAAATATGTGTCTAACCTTGGGGAAGCTGCGAATTAACTCGCAGTTGTCACTCCTCAAACAATGTACGTCGCAAACTGGGAACTGACTTGCAATATATCTCTCTATATATATGTGTCTATATCTATATATATATATATAGATATTAGGTCGGCGACCTCACAAGGGACAGGTGAGCGAAAATCGGGAATTCATTCGATGTTCAGTGTAGCAATATATATATATATATATATGCATCTATATCTATATATATATAGATGTCAGGTCGGCGACCTCACAAGGGACAGGTGAGCGAAAATCGACAGCTTTATACAAACGTTATCGTGGCTATGGCGAAAGGTAATCGAGCTGCGGAACGCGGATCGGCTATGGCGGACGGAGGTGGAGGGTGGAGAAAAGACATCAGAACACGTCCACTTGCGAAACAACAAAACCGGGAATTGATTCGGGGTTCAACAGAACGCGGCTGCGGCGTTATATCCTGCAGGTAAAGACAGGGCATCTGGGAATCTGTTCGGACATCGGACACAGAATAGGACAACTTAAGTGGCAACCATCGAACCAACTATTATGGAGGGATATCGAGCTAGGAAGAGCGAAGAGCGAACCGAACACAATGTGGCAACTGCGGACGGAGCGAAGAGCGAAGAGTGAGCGGGCTATGGCGGAAGGTGGGGGGGGCTGAACACCAAATATCAGAACACGCGCGGAAGCGATAGCGCGACTTGATCTGTGGAGCGACAACAAAAGGGATAACTCGAGGGCTGCAACGCCTTTTATACTTTGCTGCAGCAGGCTTCGCAATGTGGCAACTGCGGACGGAGCGAAGAGCGAAGAGTGAGCGGGCTATGGCGGAAGGTGGTGGGGGTTGAAGACCAAATATCAGAACGCGCGCGGAAGCGATAGCGCGACTTGATCTGTGGAGCGACAACAAAAGGGATAACTCGAGGGCTGCAATACCTTTTATACTTTGCTGCAGCAGGCCTCGCGTTGGGATCAAGGTGGGGCCGAATCGATTCGCATATCGCACCCCTGGGCCCATAAAACGCCATCAACGTGGGGCCGAATCGATTCGCATATCGCACCCCTAGGCCCATAAAACGCCAGGGCCTATAAACAATAAGGGGTACCGGAAATTGTCAGCCGTCAATTTTCAACCGCGCAGATGAACGGAGCCACTGACATGCCAGTGACCCCAAAATCTCCGTCAACTCCGGCGTGCAATGATGTGACAGTTCCTGAAAACAAGGGGCAGTCAATGTCATTTTCGCTGTTTTAATCTGCACCGTCGATCGGCATGATCCGACGCACGAGGTCAGGCGCAAGAATCTATAAGGTGCGGCGATTCGTTGTGCGCCGAGGTGGTTCATTGCGCGCCGAGGCCAGTTGACGGTTTATTTCCCGTCGAGGCCAGTCGATTCGTTGTGTGCCGAGGTCAAAAACACCGGAAATCTATAAGTTCCGGTGTCGCTGTCATTCGGACATTTTGCAAATGTCAACGGCGTTGGATATCGAGGCGCTTAGCCATGCACCATCGCCATCGATGCGCATAGCTCATCGCCATCGCCATCGCCAACGCTCGCCATGCACCATCACCATCGATGCGCTTAGCTCATCGCCATCGCGACGCAAAGCTATATCCCCAATCGCAGCCGTTGCGCTCGCCTGACCATCGCAGCGCTGACAATCGCCATCGCTCTCATCGCAGCGCTGGCCATCGCTGCGCCATCGCAACGCTGGTTCCATAACTGCCATCGGAACGCTGGTTCCATCGCTGCGGCATCGTTATCGCTGCCATCGCAACGCAGGTTCCATCGTTGCGCCATCGTTATCGATGCCATCGCAACGCTGGTTCCATCGTTGCGCCATCTCTTAATCAGTGCGCCATCGCTATTGCTTCCATCGCTATCGCTGCCATCGCTATCGCTATCGCTGCCATCGTTATCGCTGTTCCATCGCTGCGCCATCGCTCTCCACTGGTGCGCCATCGCTATCGCTGCATTGTAACGCGTTCCATCGCAGCGCCATCAGTCTCCACCGGTGCGCCATCGATATCGCTGCATTGTAACGCGTTCCATCGCAGCGCCATCGGTCTCCATCGGTGCGCCATCGCTCTCCACCGCAGCGCTGGACATCGCTATCGAAGCCCTGGCCAGTGTTATCCCACCGCAAGGCTGCGCGATTTCTGTCTCCATCACCGCACGATCTCCCTCCATCGCTGAGTGATCACTCTCCATCTCACTCCATCACTGTGCGATCTCTCTCGACCACCGGGCAACCTCCATCCCTGCGCCAGAGGCTCTCCATCACTCCTGCGCGATCCCGCCATCGCCATTGTATTGTTGTTTCAGGCCGTCGTCGGTGCAGCCGCCCATCACTGCGGAATCGCATGAAACAAGTGACAGGTATGCTTAACGAAGGTTTAACTCGATCGAACTGACGTTGTGCAATAACAAATATTGGTCATTGATGTGCCTTCTCTCTCCATCGCCGCGGCATCGCTAACCATTGTTGCGCGTCCTCTCTCCATCTCTCTCCACCGGTGCGCAATCTTTACCGACCTTTCATCATCTATCTCCATCGCTGCGCTATCTTTCCTAATCTATCTCCTTCGTCATCTATCTCCATCGTTGCGCTATCTTTCCTAATCTATGTCCTTCGTCATCTATCTCCATCGTTGTGCTATCTTTCCTAATCTATCTCCACCGTCTTCTATCTCCTTCGGTGCGCCATCTTTCTCCATTGTTGTGTTATCTTTCCTCATCTATCGGTGCGCGATCTCTACCGACCTTTCGTCATCTATCCCCATCGCTATGGTATCTTTCCTAATCTATCTCCTTCGTCATCTATCTCCATCGCTGCGCTATCTTTCCTAATCTATCTCCATCGTCATTTATCTGCTTCGGTGCACCATCTTTCTCCATTGTTGTGTTGTCGCTAACCATCCTACGCCATCTACCTTCTTCCCCGGAATATACAACGCACGTTCATTATAGTTGTCTTTAGACTGAAAGATGACCCGAATTCAGCTGTAATGACCGGACGTTGTATTCGGGGGAAGACTGTGACTCCATCCATCTCTCTTGGTGCGCCATCTCTCTAAATCGGTGCGCCATCGCTTCGCAATCTTTCTCCATCTTAAAAAATAGTACGCCATTTTTCCCTATTTCTCTCTTTCGATTATCTGTGGCTCGTACTACACGCATAACAAGCCGGAAACAACTTGCACTTGTACCCGCAGTTTCGTAATGGAAATGCTCATTTACAAGTGCGAATTTATTCGCTCTTGAACCAACCAGCCCCTTAATTTGTTAATGTTTGGTCCATAGGTCCGAATTAACTCGCACTTGTACCCCCAGTTTCGTAATGAAAATGTCCGTTTGCAAGTGCGAATTTATTCGCTCTTCAACCAACCATCCCCCTAAATTTGTTACTCTTTACTCCATAAGTCTCAGTTTTATAGTGGAAATGC